AATAACAAAGTTCAGTACTTATGAAAGAGATTGTATAGGCCACAAAGCCTAAAATATTTACCACCTGATTCCTTGTAGGAAAAGATTGACAAACCCCACTTTTAAACATTCATTGGTTCTCTAGAGGTTTGAAAGAGTCAGGGAAACTCCTAAAAATGCCAGTTATTCTCATGGAAAATGATATTGACAACAGCTGACTTCAGCTTTAATAATTTAGGGAGAGTGACTAGGAAACAAAACTTGAGGGATCATAAAAGGGAGGGGATAGAAAGTCTTCCATTTCTCTTGGGCCAGAAAATAACAGCTTTTTGACAGATTAGAAAATATACAAATTTTTTCAGATCTGGTACTATTACTACTAAACTCCATTTACTTTATTACCGGTTTTTTGTTCAAATGTAACAATATAAACAAAGCAAGTGTCATCATTTCCATGTCCAGAGTAGAGGCATCAAGTGAGATGGATCTCAAACGGTCTCTTGCATTATTTCCATGATATCACTCACACCTGAGCATCAATCATACTACTAGAGCACAAATAATCAAAAACCACATTACCCAAAAACCTTACTTGTCAATTTCAGCTTCCTCTTAGACTTTTGCTGGAGCTAACATAAAAATCCCACTCGTTAATGTCATCTCTCTTCATCTCTGCTTACCCCTCTTGAGAAATACTTAGGACCAGTAAAATGGCCAAGAGGTGGCAGCAGGAGGGAGGAGGACCAGAAGCAAGAGGAGAAACAAAGAGCTTCTCCCTTCCCATGCTAGATAACTAACTAGTCTGTGGATAGAGTTGGTTGACCTTCCATCAAGAAAAAATCTTTTTCTCTAGCTCTTCCTCCCACAACCAAATAAAAAATTCAAAACAATTGCCAAAGAAGATATGAATTGGCCTTGCTTTACCTAAAGCATCATTCTGAGTACCATGATACCAGTAACTTGATTTTATTTTATTATTTTTTTAATTTTTTTTTCAACGTTTATTTTATTTTTGGGACAGAGAGAGACAGAGCATGAACGGGGGAGGGGCAGAGAGAGAGGGAGACACAGAATCGGAAACAGGCTCCAGGCTCCGAGCCATCAGCCCAGAGCCTGACGCGGGGCTCGAACTCACGGACCGCGAGATCGTGACCTGGCTGAAGTCGGACGCTTAACCGACTGCGCCACCCAGGTGCCCCACCAGTAACTTGATTTTAGAATAGCTTTATGAAACTTGACTTTTGAAGGTTTTAAGATCAGTCAGGAGCACTATAAACATTTAACTTTCCCTGATACTTTCAGAGTATTTTTTTTTTTAGTAGTAGTTTGTTTTGGGATTAAAAACGTTCTTTTTTTTAAGGTTTATTTATTTATTAATGTTTATTTTTGAGAGAGAGAGAGAGAGAGCGTGAGTTGGGGAGGGACAGAGAAAGAGGGAGACAGAATCCAAAGCAGGATCCAGGCTGTGAGCTGTCAGCACAGAGCCGGACGCTGGGCTCCAATCCACAAACTATGAGATCATGACCGGAGCTAAAGTTTGACACTTAACCAACTGAGCCACCCAGGCGCCCCTATTTATTTATTTTGAGAGAGAGAGAGAGTGAGCAGGGGAGGAGCAGAGAGAGAGAGAAAGAGTCCCAGACTCTGAGCTGTCAGCACAGAGCCCCATGCAGGGCTCAATCTCCCAAACCCTGAGATCATGACCTGAAGTGAAACCAAGAGTCATACACTTAACCGACTGAGCCACCCAGGCACCCTTTGGATTAAAAAGTTTCTAAAAACTTTTTTTTTTACATGACTAGATTAACAGCTACTTAAAAAAAAAAAAAAAAAAAAAAAAAAAGATAGAAGGCTACCCTTATCCTTAGCTATTGACCAGAAGAAAACAGATACTCACATGAAGACACTGGACAGCACTGGGGAAGGGAGGTGACAGGGAGAACTGCAGAAAAACAGATTTGTGGGATCACCAAAAACTGGCTTGTGCTAATGACTTTTTACTTGGCCCTTTTAATAAATTCGGCAATTATTTTATAGACTCCAGGAATTACTGTGTAGTAATTTTCAAATTTTATAAGTTATGTGGGCAACATACTAAATGATAGAATTTATGTGTAGTTGAGTAAAATTTTCCTTTTGAATTTTTTTTAAGTAATCTCTACCCCTAACGTAGGCCTCAAACTCATGACCCAGAGAGAGAGATCAGGAGTCACAGACTCCACCAACTGAGCCCACCAGGTGCCTCCTCCTTTTGTATCTTTTAATGAAAATGTTTCCTGTGAAATTTCATGTCAAAGCAATAAATAGCAAGTAATTTAGCAATTTTAAGTTAAAAATGCCTTCTCATTCACCTTCAGACTCTGGTATTTGGTAATCTTTCTTGTGTGTGATTTAAACCACCTTTCCCGTCCTCACTTCTCTCCAACTGCCTGTTTTTCATCATGTCAGACATCAATTTCCTAACTGTGTCTTTGTCTTCTCAGCCTTGTCTCAGCCTCCTCTTTCCACTCTTACCTTCTGACACCCTTTGCTCCCAAGCAGAGTTTTTCCTACTTTATAATTTCTTTCTTGCCCAATGACCTGCTTCCTGCCTTTGGGCAGCCCTCTGAGCCCAAAACCCCCTCCCAGCGATCACCTGACCCCTCTTCCCTCCCTGGCACTGTTGCCTGAGTGAAGACCATCCTAGTCGCCTGTAGACCCCCAACTAACTCCAATCAACTCTATATTGAGGTTTACTCTCCCACTGCATTCCTTCTTTCCGCATCTATGTTTATACAATGCCTCCTTTTCAAAAACATTTTTTAAATGTTTATTTTTGAAAGAGGGAGAGACAGAGTGTGACTTGGGGGGTGGGGGGGGAAGGGGCAGAGAGATGGGAAGACACAGAATCCAAAGCAGGCTCGAACTCAATGAGCCATAAGATCATGACCTGAGCCAAAGTAGGACGCTTAACTGACTGAGCCACCCAGGCGCCCCTTCAACGCCTGCTACTTTAAAAATGCCCACCCCTCCAGGAGAAAAACAAAGCTACCACCATGTTCTACATGCTTACTTATCAGTCAGTATCAAATCTGGGGTATCTGTGGTGTGCGGAACCCATTAATGCATGTATTGACATTGAGTCAGAGTAATATTAACAACAACAATAAGGCTGCAAAAAAAAAAAAAAAAAAAAAAAAAAAAAAAATACCAAGGCCAAACACATCCATCTTTCATTCTCCTGTGATTCTCCATGAAAGACACATAGGTAGACACATAGGGTATTCTTCAGAGGAAAGGCTGAAACTTGGTTCCCACTATAATATTTGGCACTAGTTACTCTAAATGAGAGAGCATTAAGCAAAGGAATTTTAATTTTTCTTTCAAAAGAGTGAATTTTCAGAATAGCACAGAATTGGACATGCATACAGAAACGCCTGTGTGCATCACGGTGTACCAGTTTATGTAACTGAAGGGAGGTAAAGGTGAGACTTGCAGATTGGTTTTTTTATTGTTGCTTTTTGGTGAATATTCTCTTTTAAAAGAGTGTTTCCATTAATACCATTAGTTTAATAACAATTCTTTTTTAATGTTTTTAAATGTCTTTTTTTTTGAGAGAGAGAGAGAGGGGGAGAGAGAGATAGAGAGAGCAAGCCAGGGAGTGGCAGAGAGAGAAGAAGAGAGAGAACCCCAAGCAGGCTCCATGCTGTCAGCACAGAGCCAGACACGGGGCTCAAACTCACAAACCATGAGATCATGACCTGAGCTGAAACCAAGAGTTGGGCGTTTAACTGACTGAGCCACCCAGGCGCTCCCAATAACAATTCTTTTGTAGGGGCACCTGGGTGGCCTAGTCAGTTAAGCACCTGACTCTTGATTCTGGCTCAGGTCATAATCTCCCGGTTCATGAGTTCAAGCCCCACATCAGACTCTGTGCTGACAGTGTGGAGCCTGCTTGGGGTTCTCTCTCTGCCCCTCCCTCTCTCCCTCCCTCAAAAATAAATAAACATCTTTTTAAATAAAATAAAAAGATTTGCAAATTTGATAATTTTTAAGATTAGCAACTGGGAAAACATTTGTCATTTAATGAAAAAAAGGCCTACAAAATTATATCTCTAATTTTATTTTTTAATTATAAAGAAGAATTAGAAGGGAACTTTCATAAGAAATTAAAATAATTAACGTGTTTGGGTTCTAAAACTATAGATGATTTTTCTTTTTTGGTCTTCATTTCCCTTGTGATGATAGGATGTTATTTATGCAATTAATAAAATTCAGTGATGGGAGAAAAAGCTTGGGATTTATCATTTTAACAGAGAGTCTTGAGACTTCTCTTACTTCTGGCAAAGCCCTTGCTATTTCCAGTACTTGATCTTAACCTCCCGGCAAGCCTAAGAAGGTGGGGATGGAATGGAGATCAGAGGGTCTCCTACCTCAGCACCTGAAGTCAGTGTATAGTTCATACCACAGGATGTCCTTTCAGAGCCATGATGTTCCAGGACTATAGCACTTGTAAATGCCTCAAAACACCATCCCTTTCTGACATTTTGGGAAGCAGAACAGCAGAGTGCTTAAGAGCACCTGTGGACTTTACTGTCGGGTAGGTCCAGGTTTGAATCCCACTCTTGTTGAGTACCAGATAGAACTTGAACAACGAACTTAACTTCTTTGGGCTCATGTTTGTCTTTGTATAAAATGGGAGAATAATGAAACTGATCTCATAGGGTCATAACAAGAATTAACAGGGTAAATCTAAGCAAGAATGTTTAGTGAGTGCACAACACACGTAGCTGTTTTTGTCCTGCTTGGTTCTCCTGACATCTCTTAGCTGGACATATTTTTTGGATACCCCCATTTAATCAATCAATTAATTTGTTAGTTTACTTTGCATGCATAGATGAGGTAAGAGTTTTCAGTTCAGTTTTTGTATGCTGTGCTAATGAGAAATCTACTGACTGGGGATTCTTTGCTCCTTCCGCAGAAAGTGCCCCGTCTTTTTCCATATCTGCTTATTAAAGTAACCTTCTCCTTTTACTTTACAGATATATGTAATTGACAGCGCAGACAGAAAAAGATTTGAAGAGACGGGTCAGGTAAATAATTCTTCTGTTGAGATATTTTTAAAATAACTGGGTATTCATTAATCTACCTTGTAAATATATGAGAGTGAGGAAGGTATTGTTGTTTAACCTTTGAGGTTTAAACAAGGCAGTCTTTCTGGCAAGCAGGCAAAAATACCAGTTGCAAAAAAAAAAAAAAAAAAAAAAAAAAAAAAGGTTTCCTATAAGGAAATTACTTGAGAATCCTTTAAACTATTTTTTGGTTACAGCCTTTGAGTTTTAGTCAAATTAAATAAACCAAGATATAAGCAAATGGACCTTACCACCATGCCCAAAAGCTCTTCCAGTGTCTTCCCAGGCTACTGAGAAATGAACCCCGAGGAACAGTTCATTTGTCATTTCTGGGTACAGTTTTCAATACCAACCTAATTGATCCAAGGATACCTTTGACAAATTTGAGGGGATCTTAGGAAATATGCAAGCCAAGACTAAGCTGCCCTTGCTTCCAAGCCAAGAGTAGATATGCTTTGAACCCAAATATGGCTTCAAATGCAAAGTACATGTCAACATGATTACACGGTGCAATTTGTGTACACAATTTTAAATAGAGAAGCAGCGGGCATAGACCATTTTACCGAGACTGAATATACTGATAAGGAGCAAGAAGAAGAATGACCTCTTTAGAGAATTGTGCAGAGTCCTTGGCCTGTGTCCTAAACTACCACAGGTGGCCTTCCAAAGGTAGTACTCCCCATGTTTATGTTCCTTTTTCCTGAAAATTCGTTTGAGAACTTTCCAGACTCCTGGAGACAACCCCTCTCCTTTCCATACCTTGATGGTTTCTCTGTCATCACTCATGTGAAGCAATGCTAAACATGAGCTTAGGGGTAAAGGGTGTTATAGAATGATCTGCCTCTTGAACCCTCCAGTTCCCTTTGACAGCCTAAGTATCTTAAGTAGCTAAAATGTGAGTTTCATAGGGAAGAGGGGAGTCCTCTTAGGTAAATACATACCCTCTCCTATGCATATTGCAGACAGAATCAGCATACGTGTAGACCCCAACCAGTAACCAAAACATCAGAGATGTTGCCAAATGGATTTTAGGATGTGGGTTTGATGAAGTGCAGTGCACATGCATGCATGTTTTGAAGGTAGAGATTGAGGAAACAGAATTAGTCTATAAAGTCATTGTCATTTTCAGTTTAAAATGTGTGTGTGCGCGCGCGCATTGAAAGTCATTTGCAGAAAATAGCCTTGAGTAAATTTTAAATCTCCGTCCACAACCTGTGTTTTCTTTTTAACAGCATTTCTTAAAGTATGAGCTCTAAATCCCCTATAGCAGAGCCACCTGGGGAGTGTATTGAAATGCAGATTCCTAGGCCCTACCTCAAACATCCCACAGTCACCTACTCTGGGGTGGGCCCAGGAATCTGCCAGGGAATTTTTCCACAGCCTCAAGTTTGAGAACCACTGCCCTTGGAAGTTGCTAGTTGATCAGCTTAATACTTTTTTTTTTTTTTCTAATTAGAAGTACATGGTTAAATATCATCATTTTCATCCTTCCCTTCCCATCCATTCCCAAAATGATCCAGGAACTAGCTGAATTACTGGAGGAAGAAAAACTAAGTTGTGTGCCAGTGCTCATCTTTGCTAACAAGCAGGATTTGCTCACGGCAGCCCCCGCCTCTGAAATTGCAGAAGGACTGAATCTGCACACCATCCGAGACCGAGTCTGGCAGATCCAGTCCTGCTCAGCTCTCACAGGCGAGGGCGTTCAGGTGAGATTACCAGAAGGCTTGGTTACCTGGCAACGTGGCACCCAACCAGCGTGGTCTGTCTCACTGGTTGGGCTGATCTAGATAGAAAAAGATCTGAAACAAATAGCTTTCGATTAGTAGATGAACCGCTCCAGGATGTGAAGGGCACAGAGGAGTTTGGTTCTTTTTACTTAGCAACCAATCTGATAATCATTAACTGTTCCAGGAAAGCCACAGATAAACCACCCACACACAGGACAGACTACCCCACTGGGTAGGAGGTCAGAACCGAAGACCTTCGGAGATGCTTTCTAACTCTAGGATTCTTTGATGATTGGGTTGGGGGTTTGTGTTGTGTCTAATATTATGGATGCTAAATAGTTGTGTTCCCGCGGTAACAGCCATCAACAATACGCACACCAGTTATCCTAGAAGTGTTTTGATTTTTCTGTTGGCTATCTCCACTGCCCGCGGGGGTGGTGTCTCTTTCCTGTTACTTCAGGTTGGTTTCCCGCCGGAGGCTTCTGCTGACAGAAAGCCCCATCATGCTTTATACTGAGGAACCGTATAAACCAGGTTCTTCTGAGGAACCAGAAGAGCAGTCTCCCCCTCATTTGTTATTAATTTAGGGCAGAAAATGGTTGTATCCCAGATACCTGAGAGCCTATATCCTCAAAGAATGATAAACCATTTCAGCTCTGATGCTTCCCACCAGGCAGCCTCAGACCAGTTGACACTCAGGGCTACTTCTTTACGCTGGAGCCCCAGCATGTTCCCCATGCCTCATTTTAAACATCTGGTGTACCTGCCAGGGAAGTGACACAGTGCTGTGAGAACCAGGCAGTACTGCTCTAGAATGCTGTGGGGCTTAACAACATCTGAAGAAATGGTATCTTCCCTCATTGCCATATGGCGTGTGTCATAATAGCATGGCCGGTTTGCTTTTCTCTCAGCTTGGTTTGTTGGGATTTGATTCTCAATTTTTGTCCTGCAGCCTCTCTCCATTTCCCTTCTAATACCCTTTTTCCCTCTCTCCTAAGACATTTGACATTGATTTGTCTTAAAACTGCCTGACTGCTTTTATCTCAAGCAAATAATCACTTCCAAGAATTATCTCAGTTGTTCCATCTGTTTGCTGCCTTGGATTTTTTCTTTTTGTTACACAAACAGCCAGAGCCTGCTCCCGTGCTTGGCCTCCGGATCTGAGGGCAGACCAGCCAGCACAGGGCAGGCGCCTCCTCCTCCACACTCCTCAATACCTGCACCCTCGGAAACACTCCGTGCGCGTGCGCGTTATGGGGCTCTCAAGTAGCCAGACATTACCTTCGCTGCGTCCCCAGAATGGATGGCAGAGCTCTGTGGGTCTCTGTGAGTTTTAGGTTTGGGGAGGGGGCAGGTGTGGACTCTTATTTCTGTCCTTCCTTTCTAGACTCTGATTATAAAAGTAATATATTAAAAGTAATTGTTAATCATATACAAGTATATAAAACCAAAAACTGAAAAGTTCTTTACTCTCCCCTAATCCTGCTCAACAAAGGAACTAATCCCACTAATAGTTTTTTCTTCTCGAGTCTCCTCCATAAAATGGCAGTCACATATGTGATTATAGGTCTATCAGGTTTCAAATTAACTGCATTTTTCAGCTTAATTTACAAGCTGGTCCAACAAGTATGCTGCAACCCAGGATGGTTTTGATAGGTAAACTTTAATCATTTTATTTAGCTTCTCACTTAAAAAAAGAAACCCAAGTTTTGCCTAAGGCAGTTAACCTGGATTGTGCATAAAATGCTATTCAGGAAGCCTGAGGTTATTTTGGGGAGGAGGAGGCCCGGGAAAAGACAGTAGCTTTCTTATGTTTGCACAAACTACTTCAGGAAGAGGATTCTGCCTCTAAATGGTTTAGAATGCAAATATAGAAAGTAGAGAACAAGGATGCCTGGCTGGCTCAGTTGGTCATGGGACTCTTGATCTTGGGACTGTGAGTTCGAGCCCCACTTTGGGTATAGATTTGAAAAAAAAAAAAAAAAAAAAAAAAAAGAACATCTTGAGATGGGGACTCTAAAGGTGGGACTGGAGGAAATAAATACATTTTGTGTGCGTACGCCTGAGAAAGTGGGAACTGACTGCTCTGTAATCCTCACTGGGCCAGAGTGCCAAAAGGAAGAAAAAGCAAAGCTGGAATTAACAGTGAGTCTCTTGTTTCTTCAGCCAGCCTTAGGGATGTCAGAAGGAGGCCTAGAGTTATCTAGAATCAGTATTTAGAGTAGTGGCATTCAAGTCAAGGGTGCTTCTTCAGAGGGGCCTGGAGGTTGGGAGGGAGCCCTCGCCATTGTCTGCCTGGCCTCTGCTCCCCCTCCAGTCAGGTGGAGATTACAAGGGTAGAGAGCTCTGTGTTCCTGGCTGTGTCATCACCACTCTAGAAATGGAGTTCCCTTTAAGTCACAGGATCTTTATGCCAAAAAAGACACAGTGAGCTATTAGACAGAGGGTGGGGGTGGAAGGCGAGGGCTTTAAAATCAACCAGTTTGAATCGAGTGAAAGTCACGTGTGGTTTGATTTTGTTCAGAAAGTTCTTCTCAGATCAGGACCTTCAGCAACCAGGTTCAAAAGAAATGATATCAAGAGAGATACAACAAAGAACTGTGAACCAAAAAAATAATGATTTTATATAGAGGAGAAATAGTTTGAAGGTCACTTAATTAGTTTAGTAGATAGTACCATGGTGTATAGAATTGGGTAGTTAAGACTGGGATTTCAAGGTTAATGAGATTAGATTATGGTTAATAGAATGATATAAATTTAGAGAATTTAACCATTATTTGAAATGGGTTATTTAATAAAAATGTTAATTAAGAAGGGAATCTGCTGTCTATTGTCCTTTAATGGTAACCTTTGGGGACTGGAGAAAGGTCGGGGAGTTTTCTGTGGAGTCGCTTTTCATTGTGAGCCACTGATTGACCATGTCCCTCCCTCAGGTAATACTTCTGACTCCCTCTCTTGCCCATTCAGCCAGTTTCTTGGTTTTCACTTTAAAAAGAGTCACTTACATGGAATTCTTTTCCTGCATGGCTTAGTTCAAGTGCAAGACTTTAATGATTCTTAATTCATTAAGGCTTTAAGTATTCCTCAAAATGAAAGGCGTCACTAGAAAAATGTCCATAAGATCACTTTCAGGCATGGATACTGTGTAATAATTACTAAAATTCCCTAAACTCCTGTTTCCTCCTCCTACTCTACCCTCCCACTTTTCCACTCACTACCCCCTGAAAACTGGTCAGTAATGGGCAAAGCTTGATCAGGCGTTAAATGGGTCAAGTAACATCTGGCACCCCAGCTCTAAGGACCCTGAAAGAAATTGTACAAAGGTTTTTAAAAAGACCTGGAATTTCTGTGACAGTTTCAGGTGTTCAAAGATAATGTCCCTATTTACATTGTGCTTGAGTGTATTTGTTTAATCTAAATTCATTTGTGAGACCTGCCTCTTCCCAGAAAAGTGACACCCTCAGGTGGGTGAATGGAGGAGCAGCCACAGATCTGAGCTAAACCCTCCGGACTGATGGGGCAGGTGTATCATTTCTCCTTAGCTGAGTAGTTTAGACACGTCATTTGAGATTATGAAAGTTAGTGATTCCTGGGATGGATTTCAGGTTCTTCTTCTACCTGATATTCTGGAGGCAAACGTGTGGTCTTTACAAGGACAGGCGGTCCACGTGTTGTTCAATAGCTCCTGCTCTGGGTGTGGAAATTGACTTTTGAGGGCTTTGGGAGAGTTCAGAACAAGTCTTTCTTTGCCTGATTGATGGTGATGAGGAGGCCAGGCCATCATGTGATTAAAGCAGGTTTTCATGGGAAACTGTCAAAAGCAGAGCATAGGTAAAGGGCACTAGAAACTGAAGGAGAACATCAATCTTAGAAACTCTGTCCTGCTGAGAGGCGCATAATCCTGAGGAGTGAACAGAAAAGACCCAGTTATGTCAAGTAGTTGAATGCAGAGAGAGGAGAAACTGAAAAATGTCTGGGATGGGAGACCTGCAGCCCCCTCAGCCAGACTGCCTTGCAGACATGGGGGCAGCCTCCCTCTGTGCCCTTGGGGCTCGGCCCTGTCCCAGTGCATGACATCTGGCTCCAGGACTCTCTTCTGTTCCTGGGCGCCTAGAAAATAGTGAACAAAGGATCTGGCTTAGAGCCAGAGGAAGGTAGTGAAGTCAGTCCCTCTTCCACCTGCAAACCTGAATTGGAACCCCAAACCACAGCTCTCCTCTGCTCTTGTACAGTTCCAGGTGTTTGAAGATACTCCCTCTCTAAAACACCAATGTGTATTTAACTAAAATTACACCAGATTATCATTTCATTTCAGCACAGAGATCAGCAGTTTCAACCTGGCCTCTAGCATCAGTCATAACCGAGGCCTGTCTACACCAGTAGTTTGGATCTAGCAGAAGGTTTCCCTGGGGATTGCTCTCCGGGCCCTCCACCTTGTGCTCACCTTCCTTCCCACATCTCTCCCACATTCCCTGTCTTCCTTCTCCAAACAGGAGTAACGATCTGGCTCACAACCATCTAACCTACGTAGAAAAGACCACTAGCAGTCTGAGCCCCAATGTGTGAGCTGCACTTCAGAGTGCTTTGCAGATGGCCGTTAAACATTCACTGGCCAAGTTTCTTGTTTTTGTTGCTTTTTTCCTTGATCTAGGGGATTTTTCCCTTAATAAGCCAACAGAATTTCAGTATTAAAAAAAAAAAAAACACGACATTTACCACTTCTTTCTAAGGCCTGACATCAGTTATTTTTGACTCCAAGTGTATGTGGAACTGCTTATCTACAAGTCAGACCTCAGGTTTATTTTTAAATTTTCAAACCTCTCCGTAGACCAAGAAAATAAACTTGGGACATGCGATTTTGCTACCTCTCTGGTACAGTACCCTTTGTCTCCAGAAAAAATATTAATAGCAAGCAATATTTTATGTACACTGCACCCAGCTGCTCCTTGACCCTGGGGGCCCAGTGGCACAACAGGACAGACAGCAGTGCCCTGAGCTCCTTGTCATCTTAAAGCAATTACTGATGTGACTGCCTAGTCCTCATAGCGTTACAAGCCAGGCCCACCCAACCACGGCTACTACTGCTCTCTTCCAACCATCAGGCAGTGATGGATGCACTGTAGAGAGAGCAAGCTCAAAGGAGCAGCACAGTCAGAGGCCACTCTTCCCTAGAAAGGGGCATCGCACCTCCAATCTTGGAACGCAGGGATCTGTGTGTGACTCCTTGGCCTCCACCCATGTGGTTAGGGGGAGCCTTGTATGTTTCCCAGCATTTATCATAGGGAGTAACATCATGACATAGTAAATGCCTTTCCTTTCCATGATGCTAAACAAAGCCCAGTATTTGAGGGTTGAGGTCTCTCTTTAGTCTCTATTATTGCACTGAAGCTAATCAATTCAGATCCAGTTTCAGCAAAGCTGGTCAGAGGGAGGTTGTGGTGGAGGAAGAGAGGGGAGGGCTACCCGTGCCATAAGATTGCCGTCCTGTGACGAAGATCAAATGTGCAAAAATTTGGTCAAACCAGTTTTTAAACAATAAAAGTTCAACCATTAAACAAACCTATGAGTTCATTTCCTTCTTTAGAGGCAAAGCAGTAACCTGCTTCAAGTAGATGATCACCTTTACCCAGTCATCGGTTTTTAAAAAACAAAGCCTTGCCGAGTTGAGGCGAAAGCAGTGTGGTAACACGAGGAGCAGAGAGGGTCCTTCCTCTTAGTTTCCTCTAAACGTGGACTTGCCACCGGAGACAGTGGTCTGGCACATAGTTAATATGCTAACGATCGCAGGGTAAATATGCAGGCTTCCACACGCAGCAGCAGCCCTGAGAGTTAAGTGGCCAAAAACAGCCTCTGGCACCTGAGCTGCAGCAAAACCGAGCAGGGTGCCTGGCTGGGGGCTCTTCCGGTCTCATGACCCTGTATCAGCTGGAAGTCATAACAAAGAAGACCCTGGATCGCCCTCTTTCCCAACTTCAGGGCGATTCCCACCTTCTCTCTAAGCTTGAGGCATTCACTGGGAAATGGTAACTGGCTAAAGAGCGAGGGTGCTGGAGCTCTTGCCTGGGTTCACAGCCCGCCTCTGCCTCACGTGATTCTGTGCCCCCATTTCCTCACCGTCCTGTGGAAATTATAATAGTGCTTACTTTGGGCGTTGTTACAAGGATTAATTTAAAAGATATAAATTAAGCGTCTACTGGGGCACCTGGGTAGCTCAGTCGGTTAGGCCTCCGACTCTTGGTTTCAGCTCAGGTCATGGTCTCATGGTTCGAGCCCCACATCCGGCTCCCTGCTGACCGGATGCAGAGCCTGCTTGGGATTCTCTCTCTCCCTCCCTGCCCCTCCCCCCCAAAAGTAAATAAATAAACTTTTAAAAAACTAATTGTCTACTGTAGATCAGATACCATGATACCATGCTAGGTTCTGCGAACACCACCTCGGGCCAGTCTGACATGGACCCTTGTCTCAGGGATCCTGGGCAACACCACTGTCTTTCCTTTTCCGTGGGCAGCTTGGCACAGCCTGCCCTGATTTGATTGAAGAGGCATTAACCCGTTAACCGTGGCCTCCCCAATACCTCTTACCTCCAGCTCAGGTTCTCCACTGGATACGAACAGGAAAGGTACAGTTCCCCAACCTCCAGCCGCTTCAGACCGGGACAACCTCCTCCGAGAGCCAGAGCAGCCACAGGGCTTTGCCCTTATTCGTTCTCCCCGTGCTTCCCACACTCCTTCAGGTTGCAGGCGGCAGCTGTGCGGGCCTAGGGGCCAGCAGGTCAGCTGGTGGGTGCTGACCTCTGAGCGCCCTCTGTTGGCAGGACTGTGGTTGGAAGGGCTTTGCCACCCCTGGCCCACATAGACATCTGGAAGACACTGCCCCCCCCACCCCCCAGGGCTCCCTGGTTTAAATCCCCTCTGCCTCCATAACAGATAACTGGGGAAAAGCTGCCCCTCACCCTCCACATTCTGCTTTGCGTTCCTGCAGCTGAGCAAATATTTTTCCTATCTCTTTGACTGCATTCATGTACTGTTACGTATAATGAAAAGAACCCTCCCCTCCCCATAATCAGCCATAAAACGAGGTGGGGGGAAGTGCCATTCATGTAGTGTGGGAACACGGTTCTTGATTTCTCTGAGAAGATTTGATAAAATCTGCAAGTCTCTCTAGAGGAGAAAATATTGAGGTACACACCTTTTGATAGTGTTCGTACGGGTTCCTGAAGGTGGAAAGTGCTACGTAAGTGCTGAGCTATTCAGCTTCGAAGGCAAAGAGAAGATGGTTATCTTATTCATCGCTCTTTTATTTGTAAAATCTTTTTTGTCTCCTGGCAGGTGATCTTTTTTTTTTTTTCCTGGAAACCAATTAGCTACTAAAATTAAACATGCTTCTCTTTAAATTAATCCTTTTCATAAAATGGTCTTAAAATTGGCCTCAGCTTTTCAGAGTAAGTAGCTGACCCAGTTGTAACTGGAGATGCATTTGGAGCCACCTTCCTCCCACCCCGCATCCCCCCACCCCTGCCCCCACCGTTGCCAGGTGCTGTCCACCTTTGGGCTTTGGGCCATGGCCAGCCACATCTTGGCAAACACCCTAAGGTCTTCCCTGGGACAGCCAATGGATTATCTGGTTCTCCTGCCCAAGTGCTCTGATGGCAACTGGCAGAATTTTAATCACTGTAAATTCAGGTTATGGTCAGATTAGCCAGGAGATAGGATGCCTGCTGGTTGTTTTGCAGTGATGTATTGTTTATGGGATTAATGCTCCGAATGGCTAAGGGTGTCAGCTGATATTTATTACTTTAAGCTGCCTCAGCTGTTCAGGTTCAAGTACTAGCTCCATGGTCACAGGAAATGCGGGGCTCTGCATGTCTTGTGTGCCCTGAGATGTGCAAATGTGACTGGGAGCGTAGTATGTGTTACAGATGCAGAGGAAAGGGACTCATTGCAGGAGCTTCCTTTGATTTTGTGCGAGGCTTCTGAGGGAACTCCATACACCCCTGAAGGTCGGAGGGACTCTGGGGAAAGGGAGAGCATTCAGGGATGGCTCCAGAGGGGGCTGAAAAGGAGGTCATCTCTGGCAGACCTGGCATCCATGAGAAATCATGCTGCCTGCCAGGTGGCTGTAGGCATTGTGTGGTTTTTACCCCTGTCCCTCTCCAGCCTTCTAAGAGAGGACACGTTCAAGGTCACGGTGCCTTTAAGGGAACCTTCTCCCCAGTCCCTCAGCTTGGTAGTGCTTAAATCTGCAAGAATCAGGCCAGCCCTTTTAAACCTCTGTGTAGCGCTGCCCTAAGAGAGAGAAATGCACATTGCCCCAGTGTGTGTCTCGTCACACACACACTGCAGTTTGGCTTGTTTTTCCAAAAAAATTTAATTTAAGCCAAGTGTACACTGTCACACTGTAAATACACCGGGGCACCAGAAGGGTGACTTATTGAATTAAATGCCCTAGCAAAGGTCAGCTTTTAGAAAAAGCCAAAAATGGCTGGAATCTCTGATAGCTCTTCAATCAGGCCTTGGATCCAGGCAGATGTGTTTATTTTTTCAGAGGGAGTTCCTGAGGATCCATCTCAAGTTCAGA